TTTCCTCGCGCAACGGGTTCCTCGGTGTTTTACACGGTACGTAATCAGAGTCGTGACTACCGTTCGTTCGCACGACGGAGCCACACGAGGCATTTCGTTCGAGGCTGTTATGAATGGAGCGGAGCTTAACTCCCGATCAACTATCAACCAAGATCATAGGTTAGTTGGGGTCGGTACTCGTTTAACGCTTTTATCTTTGCCTAGATGTGCTAACGGATACCCAACACACTTCAGCTTAAAACCGTTCACGAATGTATTCTCCTTCCGGGCATTTTCTATTTACTACGGCGAGAGGAAAGAAAATGACTGATTTCATCCTTCTACCACTGCTTGTGACTTTACCGTGGCCTTTCGACTAAATTCTGGTAAATAGCACTGCAAAAATACATATACACCAGAGAACACTAGGAAACCGACGAATGTTGTAATTTGTATTTTCACGGATCGCATTAGAGTGTTTCGTGCCCGTTCGTTTCATCCCTTTCTTAACCCTTTTGACTTTCTGATTGAATCTCGATATACTGTAAACTCAGCGAAAAGGGAAATTAATTTTGTGTCGATCTAATGATGTTTCGATGTTTACTAATATCGTCCTATAGTATGTTTCTGTTGGATCATGAAGATGAGATTTCTGTGAAATATCGTATCATCGTCTTTAAATCACGTCATTTAATATCGTAAGATAAAAATAAAATAGATGTTATAACGTGAACATGTATGTATATGTATGCTATTCGTGTGTTGGTATTTTGAGAAAGTTATTTTCTGTAGTATACTACTTAGTTTTCTCTTTGAAAAGAAGCAAAAGTTAATTTATTCCGAAAATTTCTTAAAAAAAGGAAAAAATCCTAAAAGTGATAGCTTTTACACGTATACGTAAATCTGAATTAACGAGGCTTAATTAATTGTTAGAAATTTGCATTGAATCGTGTGAAAGTTACTTTAATTAAGTATCTATACGATGCTTCGAAGAAACAAGAAGCCTGCTAATAAATTATCCGTTTCGAGACAATAGATTTTCAATCCGTTTCCATTCGAATTAAATAACAATATAATCGTATCTAGTTTCTATGCCTCGGTAACATCTGGAGGCAATAGAACCTCTTTTGTGATACCGTTCTATGCCGCTGTACGACTATACATACCGGTTACCATAATGTTCGCCGACACTCCCTCAACCTGGAGAAAGATTTGCTGCTGTGTTTATATCGTGGGAATGGAAGAATGGACTCGTAGTTAACCGTGGATTAGCCATGTTCTATTTTCAACTTATATTCCAGTTCATTGACAATTTATTACGGTAGAAATCGCCAGAGACAACAAACGAAACAGAAACTGGATGTTAATTTAAATGATACGACGAGTGTTTCTCACATTCGTTGATCTCGTTCGATAACTTATAGTGTAAAGGTCCAAAATGAGATGTACTTTGATACGACAAGTACTTTCTTCTCGTTCGAATCCTGCATTTTCCTCAACCAGTTTTTACTTTTCCACTTAGTTTATCTTATCTCTTATAACAGAACAATTCATTATTTGTCATGTGAAATGTCTGCGAGACGGTGAGAGTCGAAAAAAAGATTTTATTTCAACTTATGGCACGTGAATGTCGCTCACGTTCGTTGAGTCAGAGACGCGTTCGACATTCGTCCGTAATCGTTGGTAAACGATTGACAATTCTGTCACGTCCGACCGGATCCTAGTAGACACTTTTCTACTGGAAGCATTTCTATTGCAAATGTTTGGCGATCTTTCGTATTCCTGTCGCTCGAATACGCAGCCAACAAAATTTGTAAAATTTTCTACAGTCGGAATTCAATCGGATATCGTGGACATTGACGTTCGCGATATACTATTACTTGGTTTAAAAAAAAAAAAAAAAAAAAAGAAATGCGAAGTAGGTTATGCTATTACTCGAGATGGAGAGAGAGAGAGAGAGAGAGA